TTAGATCTAGTTTCATTTTAAATGTTCTTCAGAAACGTATAAAAAAATGAGAGCCACCTTGCACGATCTTGATAGATCAACATTTGACGCGTACTTGATGCATCAAGAGTTTACCCGTGATGATCGTGTTATGTGATATTAATGGATAACGTTCATTATCTTAATTATTGACAATAAATCAGAAGATGACGTGATCAGATTATGCCAAACATAATAAATCATCAATCTAAACATGATCACCAACGAAAATAACAACAAATCATCATAGAAAAATAACAATTAAAAAAATTATACTAGACCATCACACTACATTGACAAATCAGCTATCCTCTGTATAAAGGTTAATGATTTTTGAAGAACTGTGTGTTTCAGGAAGTAAAAAGGGTATAAAAGGTTTGAGAATAAACAAGAAAAAAAAACTTACTTCGATTCTTGATCTTTTTCGTTCTTTCTTTACAGATCGTTTACGACATAATAAAAATACAACAACCAATGCTGAGATTAGTATGATTGGTATACCAAACAGAAAATACAGGTTTGATTACTGTCTTCTGTATTTTCTTCAACTGAAAAGCACCATTAAATGAAATGAAATTATCTGTGTCCTGCAGTTCAACTGCATTATGCAGAAAGGAAGCTTTATCGTGACCAAATTTTTTTGACTGTGTATCGACTTTGACAGGCATGTCTAAGGCTATTGTCTCATTCCAATGATATAACTGCAAGACAGAAACAGTCGTTATCTTGAAATGTACCTACATTAAAGACACAAATCGACATTAAAATGTTGCTATCTCATTTTTGAATGGTGGTCCAAGTTGAAATGATAAAAAACAGGCTTGTCTTACTCATGAAAAAGTTAGTTTCTGATATTTTGCATCTATCTGACTGACATTTTGAATCCCAAAACTGCTCTATCGAGTATGTACAAATATGAAATGAAAATATCATCAAGAAAACGACCATACAACAATCTGCCATGAAAAGGTTTGCGTGTGAAGCAGCGAAACGTTTGCACAATCATATTTGTTACCATTAAATGTAACATTTAATTCTAATGCAGGTCTGTTGTGGTCCAGGTTTCTCACAAGCGCTTTACGTACTAGCATTAACCCGAGTATTATCGATATTAGTGTTCACGTCGATGAAAATCAAGACTGTATTCCGAGGAACTCTAAGGTTTTTGATTCTATTGTAGTATATTAAGTATATAAATCAGGATTGGAAGATAGGTAGTCATATTGCTTAACTTGATTGGATTGCCAAGAATTGTGTTGATCGTCGATGCAGTTTCTTTGAAAATCGGCTCTTGCTAAATACCATAATGCTTAGGATGATTCAGTGGCAGAGCCATGTTTACGTCCGAGGGGGTGGGGGAGGGGGAGTATACCTGAGGTTGCCCGAATTTCTAACCTAGTTATGAGGTCCGAAATACATGCCTTCGGGGCTGCGAGAGGGGCGGGTGACACCTTTGGGTGGATTTCGGAATAAACATGGATCTGGCACCACATGAATGGTGGTTTCGGAAAAAAATATTATTCGACTTAACGATCATTATTAAACTTTAACTCGACATAAAAATAAACATTAATAAAATAAAAAAAAATTTTTTTTTCAAATTCAAAACTCAAAATTCAACATTCAAAATTCAAAAATTTAAATTCAAATTCAAATTTATATTATTTATAATAATTTTGAATTTCAAAAAATAATTTTGAATTTCAAAAAATAATTTTGAATTTCAAAAAATAATTTTGAATTTCAAAAAATAATTTTGAATTTCAAAAAATAATTTTGAATTTTGAATTTCAAAAAATAATTTTGAATTTCAAACAATAATTTTGAATTTCAAAAAATACAAAAAATAATTTTGAATTTCAAAAAATACAAAAATTAATTTTGAATTTCAAAAAATAATTTGAATTTCAAAAAATAATTTTGAATTTCAGAATTTCAAAAAATGATTTTGAATTTCAGAATTTCAAAAAATAATTTTGAATTTCAAAATATAAATTTGAATTTGAATTTTTGAATTTTGAATTTTGAATTTTGAGTTTTGAATTTGAAAAAATGGTTTCTTATTTATTTTTGTGACTGGTGTATTCAAGACTATGAGCAATGGTTTCTTATGGAGACTACATATATAAAGCGGCTGCATCGCGTCCTGTGGCTGACTGCCAAACTTCGGAAACGTCCCTTAACTGCCTTGAATAAAACGTTGAAAATTAACGATTACAATATATAACTCCATCCTCATGTGGTCATGATAATCAAATTTGCGGCATTGTGGGATCTTGGGGTG